TAGATATTTTAATAAATAAGTTATTTAAAATAAAAGTAATTATTAGAATAAGTAATTAATTAATTAAAAGATTGAAGAAAATAAAAATATTGGTAATTACTCTCTAATTTACATTTACTTTATTTATAAAAACTTTGTAACATTACTCTTCAATTTTTTTTTACTATTATCTTTAATTTCTTTTACCATTACCTTTGATTCCTTTCATCATTATCTCTGATTTCCTTTACTATTACCTTTACTATTACCTCCAATTTCCTTACTATTACTTTTGATTCTCTTCATCATTATCTTTAATTCTTTTTACCATTACCATCATCATTTCTTTTAATTTATTTCACCATTATCTTTAACATTTTCTTTTACTTTCTCTTATTTTTAGTATGATTCTATTTAAAAGGATTTATTAAATGTTTTATTATTTTCATTTCTATAGATACATCAAAACTATAATGAGTGAATAGTAGAAATCATAAAAGTGTAAACACTAACAAAAGGCCTTCTTATGAAATTATAGCAAATTAAGTTAAAGATTCATAAAATGCAATTAATATTAATTTGATTAAGTGATCTTTTAAATACTATAGTATCGCAAATAAATATAAAGGAAATGAAACTGACTTGGATTTTTAATTATGATCATCTCTAGCAAGTAAATAAATTAAATGATAAAGTAAAAATGCTATTAGATAAAGAATGAGAATAATGAGTATAAAGAGAATGAAGATAATGATTATGAAGAGGATGAAGAGAATGAAGAAAAGTATGAAGAGGATGAAGAAGATGAATGTGAAGAGGAAGAGGATGGATATGATAGAGAATATAATAATTGCTATAAACAAGAAACAATTAACGAGTGGCTTAGATTGTGTAACAATGCTATGATTCGTTAATTTTGACTCTTTTTTTTAATATTATTTTATTGTTACAAACAATAAGAGAAAAGTCAAAAAAAGTCATTTTGAAAAGGCTCTTTGAATATCGAATACTTTTCAATATCGGATTTTGATTAGTATCGGGGTATTTTTCAAAAATACAGTTGAGTAATATCCCGATATTATTTAAGGGAGATACTATTATAGGGGGATACTAT